GCTCTAATTTTGAATTTGTACTCTAGTGAAAAGGAAACTTCTAGAGACAATAACTAGGCCCATAGAGGCCTTCCGCTAAAGGCAATTAAAAATCAAAAATCAAAAGAAACAGCGCAAAATCGAATTAAAGGTAGTTAAGGAAGCTGACACATACCGCCATATAGGGCCGGCAACCAGCATCCTGTGTTTGGGCAACCGAATCCTGGAGATATCCACAAATGCCAAAGTCACAAAGCTTCACTTCGCCTTTTCTATTTAGCAGTATATTAGAAGGCTTTACATCTGAAAATAGGCTAATTTTAGAGAATACGGAAGCGAATTGAGAAGTGAGGCTCACCTCGGTGAATGATGTGATGTTGGCTCTTCATGTGATTTAAAGCAATAATAACCTAAATAATAGTTTAAAGACCTCATAAGGTATTTATATGTATTATGTGACTAACGTTTATTGCTATGCTTCCCAGTGTATTCTCATCGAAGGCTTCGTAGCCCAAACTATGTACGGTAGTGTAAAGCCGCTCTAAGGATATATCCATAAGCTCCATACACACTAAACCGTCTCCCTTAAATATTTGGAGTTTGAAGAAAAAAGGGGGAAAACCTAAACAGAAAATGTAGCTGACCTCATGAAATGTGATTCCATAGAATTGAACAATCTGTTTACAGTTACTGGCAGATTTTATAGCGTCAACTTCTTGTTGAAGCCGCTTCATAGACCGACAGCTAGCAACATCATCTACTCCAGAACTGACTATACGAACTCGCTGAAAATTGAAGGGAAATTGTTGAGAAGAGGGGATCCAGGTTGTGGAAATAAATTTCTCCTTAACTCTAGCTAAACAAACATTCGACTCAGTACAAAACGGTAGAATATCTGGCTCCTCCCAACACGAGCAGGGGCTCACGACAGCAATTTGAAAAAAAGGACCGAAAACGTACCTTTACAGCCATTAACGTTCCGGTAAGAATATGTCGCATCTTTTTAACAGTGCCAAAACTGCCGTTTCCCAGTGGTCCTAATTCTTCCAGATCTTTGAACTCAAAAGGGTATTCTGTTGTGTCCGGTGGGAACATAAGTTTCCCAGCAAGATACATGCGAATATAGTTCCTAAAAATTCAAGATGAATACCAAAACTGCTCAGCTCTGGGTAAACTATATAATGCATAGATATTTCTACTAACATTGAATGAAACGAT